TTGGTACAGAATCTCACTATACAGTTTGGACTTGTGATTCTCCTGTTTCAGCCTCCCCTCCCATGTACCACCATGCCCGGTTTTGGTGGCCAGCATGGCATGCCCAGGGTTCCAGGGCTGGTATGGCATGTGGTACCAGGGATTGAACTTGGGTCCTTGCGCTTGCCAGGCAGGTGCTTAGACTGCTGAGCTATCTCCCCAGCCCATCTGGTTATTTTTAACTGTTTGGATGTGTATTTGAGAACTTGTTTGTAGATACAACTAAGACTTCAGGTGCTGTCTAATCCCCAGTTTTCTGACACCTTCTGCTATGACCTGGAGATCATTCAAATTAATGACTATTCTAGCTCAACGACAATATTCGCAATCTTCTTTGTCAACCTTTTAGGGCAGCAGTAATCAATCTACAGCACACATACTATTTGTTTTTAAAAGATGTTAATGTATGAATTGCTTTTTCTGAACTAAAACTTCAGTATCCAGGTTTACCTGCAGTGTTGGCACTTTGCAATAAGTGGGTTTTAGTTGCAGTCTGAGCATGCATCTCTAAAAGGTTTGTCATCTGTTCCAGGGTACAGCACTTCGGGATCCCAGCCCAAAGTAAAATTTACCAATTCATCTTTGAAGGTCTTGAAGAACCCAAAATCTGTCCTCTCTGGGAGACTCAGAGCACTGCCCATATTCTCCACATCATTCTTATCCACAAAGGTAACTCTCAGAAGCCATGTTGGCTCAAGCCTAACTAGACCTTTGGATACTTATCTGTGAGGGTTCATTTCTTTCAATCAGGCAGTTAGAAACACATCCTCAGTCTCTATTACACGTGAACACAGAAGCTAGTAGTAGAAAGCGACAAGGAGAAAGAATTAAAGCACTGAGAGAAAAAAAATTCAGAACCTTTTAAAAAAACCTGGGAACTTTCCAAGTTCCTCATGAGTCCTAAGAGCCAATCTAAAGCTGGTTGTGGTAGTGCACGCCTATAATCCCAACACTCTGGAAACTGAGGCAGGAGGACCGATCCCTTGAGTCTGAGGCCAGCCTGCACAATATAGTGACACCAAGTTCAAAAAAAGAAAAGCCAATTTACTTGGGCTCACCAAGGTTTCCTGTAACCTTAGGATCAGCTCTCCTTTGTATGCTTATACTAATTTGAGGTAGAGATTCTGTCCTTGCAACTAAGAGTCTTCACATAGGAAAGGATCTGTCAACAATTACTAATGGATTAAGATATTAAAAGCTAGAACTAAGGACTGTTACTAATAGCCTAAGAGCTAAAAGGATAGACCAATCAGGAGTCAGCATAGCTTCAAAAATCTATGAAGACCTATGATTCAGAAGTCATCATCCACTGTTTCTCTGCAGTGATAGCCCACTAGACTTCAGGGTTATGTGCAATGCATGGTCAATGGTATCTAGGAAGATATATGTGTACAAGGAGATAGTGAACACTTGGGAGAAAGGTGAAGCCTCTGGCACTGCAAAATAAGGCAGGTCAGGGGGCCAGGGAGATGGCTTAGTGGAATAAGCACTTCCCTGGCAAGCGCAAGGGCCTGAGTTCAATCCCTGGTTCCACCAAAAAAAAAAAAAAAAAAAAAAAAAAATAAGGCAGGTGACAAAGGGGGCTACCACCAGGACATTGGAGGATATACTATATTTAGTGACAAGGATGGAGACATAAATGTGATCAACTATTCGAGCAGGCAAGCAGCTGCTTAGGCAACGAGTAGCAATACCAAGACATAACACTTTGTAAATAAGCATAAAAAGTGTCCTTTTTTTTTTTTTAAATGTATTTAGTACAGAGTCTATAGGCTCTCACTACACAGATTAGAATTCTAGTGATCCTCCTGTTTTTCAGCCTCCCAAGCACTGGGATTACAGACGCATGCCACCATGCCCAGTCTCAACTGCCATCCCAGTATGCCCTAGAGGTGAGGCTGGCACAGCAAGCTGGGGATCAAAGCCCCGGCCCCTGCGTCTGCCTAAGCAGGTGCTTTAATTCGCTGAGCTATCTGGCCGGCCCTACACAAAGGGTTCTTTTTTTAAATATTTATTTATTTATTTATTTATTTATTTATTTATTTATTTATTTTGTGGTGTGTGGCCAGCTCAGCCCACCAGCGGGGGGCGGGGCTGGCTGGCATGTGGTGCTTGGGGATTGAACCGCGGTCCCTGTGCTCTAGCTAAGCTTGTTCTAAGTAGGTGCTTTAGACCACTGAGCCATCTCACCAGCCCCACAAAGGGTTCTTTGCAAGCAGAAATTGCTTCCACTTTCTTCTCACACAAGATGAACTCTTGAGCACAAGGTCTGCAACTCTGCACCACTGCTACCTACCACAGGGCCTGTGTACAGCAGGCAATGAGCAAATGCCAAATGAGTGAACGGAAATATTTTACTAAAAGCCTTTAATCCCTGTCTTAAAATTCTATGTAAGGTGTTTCAAATCCCCCCCCCCCCCCGAACCAGGGATTGAACTCAGGCCCTTGTGCTTGCCAGGGAAGCGCTTATTCTACTGAGCTATCTCCCCAGCTGTAAGGTGTTTCAAAATAAAGAATTTTTCAGATTTTAAAAAGGAAATACATTATATGGCATCACAGTAGTCTGGTACAACTCACAATCAAGACACTCTACAATAAAATGGAAGAACAGTCACATCTGTTCAGGTCAGGTTTTACTGTAAACAAATTTTGTCATCAATCTTTTTTTTTTTTTTTTTTTTTCCGAATGCCTTCAGGGCAGGTTTGGCTGGCTTGAGTTGTAGGGATTGAACCACAGCAACCTGAGTCTAACTGCTTTGTTGAAGCAGCCACTTAAAGAACTGAGCTAAGGGACAGGCCCCCTTTGTCATCAATCTTAGCAATAAATAACCCTCCTTACTTCAGGATTGCAGACAAAGGTTTGCTAAACATTATGACCGAAAGCCAGGCATGGTGGCGTATAACTATCATGCCAGCATTGGTGAGTCTGAGGCAGGACTGCCACAAATTCGAGGCTAGCCTGGGCTACATAATGAGTTAATTCAAGGCCAGCCTGGACTACTAGTCTCAAAAAACCCAAAGATGTTACTCAGATCCTGGAACAAATGATCACAATTTACAAGGGGAGGCCATGTGCATCTTATCAACTGCTGTCATTCCAAGGTAAGTATATGAAACCTGTGTATCTGTCCACATCCCTTCACTACCTTTAGTATCCGGCTGCGTCCTTCAAGCTTCTCAATAAATGAATCAAATGGAAACCTCCAATTTACAGCACTTACCCTTCACACACTCGTGAGAGTACCATAGGGCAAATGAACAATGACTGGTTCTCACAGTAAAGCTTACACTTACTAGAGATGCAGATGCTTTTGCCCTGCCCCAGAGGGACCAATCATCTGTGTTTTAATAAGCTTGCCCAAGAGATTCTAATGTGTAGTGAAGACTGAGAACTTCTGCTCTAGAACTTTTGCTCACCCTTCTCACTGTGTGATTTTTTCAGATCATTTGTTCAGACTTTGTTAAAAATTGCATCTCCTCTGAACCAGCCAACACCTAAAGTGCACTGAAGCAGAGCCCAGACTCCACACATTGAAAACAATGGGGCCAGGGAGATGGCTCAGTGAAATAAGCGCTTCGCTGGCAAGCGCAAGGCCTGAGTTTAATCCCCAGTTCCACCAAAAAAGAAAGGAAGAAAAAATAAAAGAGAACACTGCAAATTACCATGTCACACAGAAACTGGCAGCGCCACACTCCAAGTGCACCCACAAGAGACTGTAAACCACTTGAGGGCAGGGGCTTAGTGCGTTTCCAATGCATGTGCTATGACACTCAGTAAATGTTTTAATTAGCCAGCTCTATACCAACTTGCACATTATCACTACAGCAACTGCCAAGGCTGCTTGGGAACACGAATGCACTACCGAGGTATGCATCTATCCCCTTTATGCTTATTTGAAAATGAAGGTCAACTTGCTAAGAATAGTTAAGACTCTTAACTAGTGAATGAAAGCCATTTGTGTTTTTATTTATTTATTTTGTTAATAATGTATTTGATACAGGGTCTCACTACACAGCTCAGGACTCAATAGTGATCCTCCCATTTTCAGCTTTCCTAGCACCAGGATTATAGGAGTGTCCTACCACACCCGGACTCTGTCTCAGGCTCAGCACATTCAGGGGCAGAGCTGGCCCAGCATTTGGTCCTGGGGATTGAACCCCCAGTTCCCTGTGCTTGCCTAAGCAGGCACTTAATCCACTAAGCTATCTCACCAGCCCTATCCATTTGCATTTTTAAACTGTTTAATTGTAAAGAAAGACAACTAAAGATTAGGAGAGTAATAAAGGGAACAGAGAGCCTTAATTCTTCTGCTACCCAGAGGTGAAATTCGGTCTCCTGGAGTAAAGCTGCCAGACATAACTGTTAGCGTAGGAGAGTATGATCCACTGAGACACACGGTCTTGACAAGGAAAGAAACCTCTGTTGAAGGATGGCTTTCAGCACCTGGACCCTTTTTGTTTTAGCTTTGGGAGAAAGACAGCCAAGACAACAAAGAAAGAGAATTCTGGGATTATTGATAAACACAGATCACCCACCAAATAGTCTGGCCAAGGACAAAAGCTGAATGCTTAAGGGTTAAACCTTTTCAAGTTTTATAATCAACAACTCAAGATTAAATTCTAATGGTGTAAGGAAACACACACACAGGAAATTAATAATTGTACTTGTAGACACACATATTTTAGTTCATTGTCCCATTTTTTTAATTGGTGATTTTTTTTTTACCCAACTCAGCATCAGTGATAAACAAAAGGATATAAAGTATCATAAATATTTATAGGAAGGCACAGAAAACAATTGCCAAGGAAGGAATCAAGCAAAGGAAAGAACTGTTGCCCACTGTGCCCGCTCAACTGTGTAAGGTTGTTCCCAGGCAGTTTCTCAATTCTTTGGGAAAGAAGTTTTGAAGCTTCATGCCTTCAATGAAGGTCAAGCAGACATTACAGAGCTGATACCATCACATTTTGTACTGACAGCAGGGAAAGGTTTTACAGACACTAATTCTCAAGCCAGTGTCACAGCATGGAACTCACAGGCAGAATGGGACTTCACCAAAGGAAACACCTCTCTTCCTTCAGGTCCTCCTTGTGCACAGAAGCTCTTTTTAATAATACCCTTGGCACAAGAGCTGGCCCCTACATCATCAACACACAACTGGAGAAGAAACTGACCTCCTCGCCTGCTACACACAACACAGATCTGTGAGGAGTTTCCCAATATTCAGGTATCATGTGGTCTGTATTTTTTACACAATATAATCTCCTGAGAGAAAATAGAAATGAAGATCTCAGATATATTCACATTGCTTTTTTTTTTTTTTTTTTTTTTGGCAGAACCAGGGATTGAACTCAGGCCCTTGCGCTGGCCAGGAAAGTGCTTATTCCACTGAGCCATCTCCCCGGCCCCTCACATTGCTTATTAAACACACCACTGTCCAAAGTATATGGAAACTGCAAGAACATAAATCTACTCAGACATTTGATACAAGCAGGCTAAAGTTTAAAGGAATTATTCCATCTTCAGCCTCAAAAATCCAATGGTTAAATAGCACAATTCTTCTTTAATGGAAGAACATTACGAGGACTTGCCTTCCAAAATGCTTCAGCTAAGGAATATAAAAACTTATGGCTTTAATATATAGAACATAAGACTTCTCAGTTAACCTAGCCACAATTTTCTGGTCATCATAAGAATATACTACATTTGAAATTCAACTTCACACACCTGTAATCCCAGATCAGAAGTTTGAGGTTAGCCTGAGCAACTTAGTGAGATCCTGTCTCAAAAAATAAAAATAATTTTTAAAAAAGGACGTGGGGATATAGCTCAGTGACAGAGGATAGGGGAGAGAAAGGAGAGTGAGCATTAGCGAGATGGTTCAGACACAAAGAAGGAGGAAAGGCGGAGGCCAAGTAGCAATAGCTTAAATACCCAAAACACTTGACAACTGGGAACTGTCCCATACAGGCACTTTAAAGGCCAGAAGGATTCATTTATAATTTGGTATGTGCTGGTTGAAGAAGCAATAGGCCCTAGGGCTAAAATATAAAAGTCTATTGTAAAGCTATAATACCTTAATAGAGAGACAAATGGTAGACACATATACCACATTAAAGATGTGTGTACAATACTGTGCTGACTTTAAAGAGAAAATTGGGGGGACTCTGAAGGGGAAAGATAATAGGAAAAGAATTATGAAGGAACATTTTTATCTAACACTATTCCAGTAAATATCTACCACCAGGACTTGAAGACCTCTATCTACTGAGTTAGCAAATGACCTCACCTGCTCACATCTGGGCCACACAACACACTCCAGGACAGTAATCCCCTGATGTTTCGGTTCCACTTGGTATCTGATGACTAAGTTGCTTCCGGCTTTAAAGATTTTCCTATTATATTTTCATTAGCTGGTTAATATGGCAGAAGTTGCTCTTTCTGTGAGGCCAGACAAACTGTACAAAGTAATTTGATCTAATGAAGATGAAGTGTACAGAAAGAAGGAAAAGCTTCCTGGTCTCTTCTCTCACTTGAAAAACTCTGTGAGCCCTTAATGTTTTGTTCCAGAAAAAGAAAGCAAAACTAGTTGGGAAAATACCTACACACTTACTGTTTACTAGCATGATACAAAATCAATTCATACATGTTGCTTAACTATTTCTCAAAAAAAAAAAAGTAAATGTTTAATCTTTTAAGAACTGAGTTATTCTACATTCCTTTATATAGAGTTAGGATCTGTAAATTGATACTTTTTTTGGATAATCATGCAAATTTAATTTGTCCCTGAAAACAAAAACACAACCTGACAGATTAACAAAACATGTCTTTCAGACAGTATTTTATTCTGTGAATTTTTTTTTCCCATTATTACTACTTTTATCCTTTTAAAGTTTATGTATTTCAAATTTCCAGGGAGCTAATCTCAGAATGATTAGGAAGTCCGGACGAAGTGACCTATTATAATTTGTGAAGTGGCTTCACTATTTTTAAAAGTGAATTCTACAAAATTTTGAGTTATTATTATTAAGTTATAAGAGCTAGAAATATTTCTTTGGCCACTGATGCACTTATAAAACTGGATAAAGATTTTATTATACCACACACACAAAAAGTGATCGGTACAGAAAAGGCAGATTTCAGTTATTCTGTTGAGAATTTCTTTCCATGATTTCTCCCATTAAAGTATAGTTTTCAAAGCAACCACCACGACAAAGGAAGCATCTAATTAGTCCATTTCTTCTGATCCAAGAATGCTGAACATTTACTGTACCGTCTGTAGTTGTATCAGCAGTGTAATGAACACAGTTTATATTACTGAGCTATTCTTTGAACTCCAAGAACTGCTGAAGTCTTTTCTGATGTTCTGCAGATGCTTGCACAGCACTAAATGAAACATAAATTCAAAGCATAAGCTTTATTTTACATTAAGCATATTAAGTGAACCACAGAGCACAGAGTCAATATTTTTCAAAACAATTAAAAATGAATAGAAATCTTCACTTATTTAGTACTTCTGAAAGAGCTGGATGAAAACCTTTTTTAATTTAATGAAGAGGAGGCTTGCACTGGGTAGCAACATGCTTCTACCTTCTAAGACCAAAGCAAATTGAGACTGACAAGGGAAGGCATCGATTTTAACCTGCTCTGCTGTGGAACCTGCTGTGCAGAGTTCCAGGCCTTGCAACAGATTTTCTGGATTTTATTATTTCATTCAAAACAGATTCCTACATTATCTTTGAGTTGTGGAATATTTGAATTGCCTTTAATATAAAATCCTTTAAACTAAAATGTTTGGTTAAAACACAATAGACTTCATTAATTGTTTTCAAACATAACAGCTTGGTGGTTTAGATTTACTTTTCTCTTTGAACATAAGTTATGTTTTAGATGGAGACAGAATTCCCTCTCTACCCTAATCACTATAAAAATAATCTACCTTGACAAAATTAGAGACCTGAAACTGGTGTAAAACTTTCATCTTAAACTTTTGGGTAAAAAGTGAATAATTAAAGATTCTGGTTTTCTAGTTCTTGAATAGTAACATATACTTACCACGATATTATTAATAATTTTGCCATGTATCACCTGAAAATGACTTCATACCTAGTGACTTTCTTGACCCATGTAGCTGCCGCTAGTGGGATCACTGAACACTGCGCCCAGGGGGCCGCGGAAGCCACCATCTCTACCTCGCACTCTGAAACCTGACTACATTGTGGCTGTCTATCCCAAGTCTTCTCCGCAAGCAGGCAGTGAGCTGTTTTCTCCCCACAACAATCTCTGTCCCTCATACATACTTTGATATGTTTTAGGCTGCACATAAATAAAATTTACTTATGAGTAAAATGGGGGCTGGTGGAGGCTAGCCAGACAGCTCAGCGAACTAAAGTTCCTGCTTCGGCAGAGAGTAGCAGCCTGGGTTCAATCCCCGGCGTGCCATGCCAGCCCTGCCCCTCAGGCACGCTGAGATGGCGATTGAAACCAGGCTAGGTGGCATGCGCCTGTAAATCCAGAGTTTGGGAGGCTGAAAACAGGAGAATCACTGAGCCCGACCTACGTAGTGTGATCCTGTACACCCTGTAGACCCTGTCCTAAATTCATAAAAAATAAAATAGGGGCTGGTGGGAAGATACAGATGAAAAGATACAAAGCCACAAATATTAAGATGAACAAGTCTACTGACCTAAGATACAACATAAATATAATTAATAAAACCATAAGAATTTTTGCTAAGTAGAGTTTAGCTATTCTTATCTAATAAAAAATGTGAGATTAAAGACTTAATTTGGTTCATTTACAGTAACCAATTTATTATCTATCTGTATATTATGACATGTTGTAAACCTCAAATACACCCAATAAAATTTATTACTTAAAACAAAAAAGCCAGCCATGATGGCACATGCCTATAATTCCACTTATTTGAGAGGCCTGAGGTAGGAGGAATGCAAGTTTTAGGTCAGCCTGAACAACTTAATATGTTGGATTAAGACTCTGTCAAAACAAAATTTCATTTTATTTTATTCTATTTTTTTGTATATTTAGGGAAGGGTCTACAGTGTGTTCAGGGGCTCACTACTAGATCGGACTTGTAGTGATCCGCCTGTTTACAGCCTCCCAAGAGCTGGGATTGCAGGCGTGCGCCACCATGCCTAGGCTCAACTGCTGTCTCACTGTGCCTTTGGGGCAAGGCTGGCAACTTGGCAGGCCCAGAGATTGAACCCCTGGCCCCTGCACCTGTTTGCAGGTGCTTTTACCCACTGAGCTATTTGGCTGGCCCTAAAACAAAATTTTAAAAAGGTCACGAGACTAGCCAGGCATGGTGATGTAGTTTCTATAATCTCAGCACTTGGTGGGCCAAAGTAGGAGGATCATGAGTCCATAGCCAACTTGGACTACACAGCAAGATCCTGTCTAAGACTAAATAAAACAGATTGGAGATATACAGCTAAATGGTAAAGTGCTTGCTAAGCATATGTTCAATTCCTAGTTTTAACAAAAGTATGAATGACTGTTTCATGAGTAACTGGTCTTGATTAATTTTCAAGAATTTACTGCAGGTGAGACATGCCAGTACTCAGGAGGCTGAGGCAGGAAGATCACTGAAAGTTTGAGGCCAACCTGGCTTACATAGTGAATTCAAGGCCAGCCTGAACTATATAGCAAAATTCTGGGGGAGACAACACAGTTTAACAGTTAAGAGTGCAGACACTATAGTTAGGTGCTATGGTGCACAGCTCTAACCCCAGCACTCCGGAGGCTGACGTAGAAATCACTGCATTCAAGGCCAGCCTAAATACACAGAGAAACCTTGTCTCAAAAAAAAGAAAAAGATTTAAGTGGCTGCCTCCACAAAGCTGTCAGCCTCCGGTTGCTGTAGTTCGATTCCCACAACACTCCAGCCAGCCAAACCACGCCTGAGGGCATTCAGAGCAAAAAAAAGAAAAAGAAAAAGAAAAAAAAAGAAGGGTATATAGACATCGGACACTCCATGGTTAAAAAGACATGGGGCTGAATTCTGGTTCTATAATTTACTACCTGCATAATCTCACATTGAGCTACTTGAACTCATTTAGTGACTCACCCACAACCACAGAGAGTCAATAATGTAACCAAACAAATGCAGAATGTTCTAATTCTACATAGTCTTTTCACCATCCATTCTATCCTACAGGATGTACAAAAGATTCTACTCATCAATCTGAGTGCATATGTAAAAATGGCTCTTCTTAGAGAAAAAAAACCAAGACATAGTTTCATGTCATAATTTCGCACAATTTTTATCAGTCATCTATCTCCTTCTAATAAGTCCTTATTCCCCCCTTTGCTTCTTGCTTTTGCTGTGTCATCAGTATGAATCATGTCTATTTTATTCTCTAAATCCATTAATGGGGCCGGGGAGATGGCTCAGTAGGATAAGCACTTGACTGGCAAATACAAGGATCTGAGTTCAATCCCCGGTTCCACAAAAAAAAAATAAAAAATAAATCCATTAATGAGGGGCCAGGGAGATGGCTCAGTAGAATAAGCTCTTGCCTGGCAAGCGCAGGGCCTGAGTTCAATCCCCGGTTCCAAAAAAAAAAAAAAAAAAAAAAAATCCATTAATGAGTCTCTTCTGAATGTCTTAATGGCAGAGGACTATCTACAGTCTTTTGCATTTCCAGATAGAACCAAAGTGCCCAATAAATA